GCTCAGAGTCCCTATGGAAACAACATCAATGTTTTATTGTTATTTTTACGACTCAGTGGGGGGTAAAATATAACACAACTAAAAAGAACGCCCCAAAAGCCAGACCCCATCCAGCAGTCAGTGCAGGGGGTGTCCATGCTGAGGTGAGGGCAGAGCCCCTGCACACACCCAGCACAAAACCCCAGGGACATGGGTCTGTGGTATTTGCCATGCGGAAGATCCCAATATGAAAAGGCAGCTCCATTTCCACCTTTATCTGTCTGGACGGGTCATTCCCGGCCTGGTTGGCACCATCATGGGTCTGGAGGGGGGTCTCATCATCGGGGGCCCTGGCATCATGGGCATGTGTCCTCCCATGGGTGGCCTCATCCCAGGGGCTGCCGGGGAAAGACAGGACGTTAGAGAACACTGGGAACAGCAATGCCCAGTCACCACAGAACACGGAATGCTTTGCGTTGGAAGGGACCTTTGAGACCTATTTCCAGCCCACTCCACAGGCAGGGGCACCTTCCACTAGCCCAGGTTGCTCCAAGTCCCGTCCAACTTGGCCTTGGACACTTCCAGGGATGGGGCAGCCACAGCTTCTCTGGGCAACCTGTGCCAGGGCCTGCCCACCCTCACAGAGAGAAATTCCACACTGTACAGTGGGCAGGTTCTCTCCCCCCATCAAGGAACTTCCAGCCTGGAAGCTGCTGAGATGGATTCTGTTCCCTGAAGGAGCTCAGCCATCAGCAGAGGAGGAACCAAGCTCATAGGTTATACACCCACCCTGACAATATTCACTGGTAAATTATTGCCAGTCACGAGAGAGACACGTGAGCTTAATTACTGATCTGGAGAGTTTGTTTGGAGAAAAGTGCTGCAAAAGCCTCCCATGTGCCCACGAACAAGCACCGGGCACCTCTTCCAGCTGGGAAAGAGCACGGCCAGGGAAAAGCATGGGCTTTGCTGCACAGCCCTGAAATAATGCTTTCCATCCCACTTTGCCATTTATTTTCACCAGGCTGCTGAATATTGCAGATTGTGTACTTATCTTGTGCTTTAAAAACACTTACAGAACACTTTCTACCACAAGACAGTAATTGCAAAGACACTTCACTACTCTCAGTGCACATGTGTGTGTTCCTGTAGAGCTGTTCTGGGAAATGCTCCAGTAAGACATCCCCTGAGAATTCTTCAAATGCCAGGAAACTCAGGAGTGGAATGGATCAAACACCTTTTAGTTTGCCTTTACAGTTCTAAAAAAAAAGCTTTTTCAGGCCCATTATTTCTCTAGAACACGTTATCTTGAGACATTTTAAACAGTGAAATTCATTTAGTGCAGAAACGTGCCCCTTGTGCAAAACCTGAGAGCTGCAGACACCGAATTCCTAAAAAATTACTGCTCAGAGCAGAGGAAGAACAGCTACAGCTTCCCAGAGCCATAATTTCAGCTGTGCAGGGAGGGCTGGTGACTCTCAGGCAGGAGTAAGGGGGCTTTAATGAGTGGTTGTAAGACTGTTGTATGCAGGGGGGTAACAGTGACAGAGGTGTGAGCAGAGTGTGCCCCCAGCCCAGCCCAGCCTTGCTCCCCACAGCTCAGTCACCAGTGGGTCAGGACACATCCCTGAGACCCCCCCAGCACCCCGACAGAGTCACCCCATCCCAGACTCACCGGGTCCGACTGGCATCATTCCCGGGGGGGGTGGGCCCATCATTGGCATCATCGGGGGCCCCCCCATGTGTGGGGCCGGCATCATCCCAGGCCGGGGGGGGCCAGCTGGACACAGAGACAGTTACACACTGCAAGCAGCCAGCACCCTCAGGCAATGCAGTTATTCACTCTCATGGCACATGGCAGTAACTAAGGCCTTGGTGGCTTTACATCTGCCTCCCTCACTCCCAGCCCCGATTCCAGGTGCCAGGTGACCCAGAAGAGGAATATGCTGGTTGCGAACTCCAGCTGTGCACACCCAGTGCAGGGAACTGCCACTCCCAATAGCAGGACTTGGGGCTGGAGGTCTCTTGGCCCTTTGCCAGCTCAAGTGCAAAAGGTTATCAAAATTATTCTATTTAAAAAACCCAACCCAAACCCACACACCACTGGTAGTTCTGATGAGCTGCCTGCACGGGAGCCCCCACAGATGGAGGGGCTCTCCCTGCTACTGACAGTCTGAGCATCCCTGAAATCAGACACACCGAGGACTGGGGTGCTGCTGGACTGCCCCCACACAGAACTCCCCCACACTTCGGTACCATGAGCTCAAAATGTCTTGACTTGGTTTCAAGCTCAAAGGACTTTTCTTTCCAAGTCGAGGCCACAAGGCACACACCCCAGGAGGGCCATGGTCTCAGTCCCAAAGTGCCAGGTGAGACTTACGGATGCTGGGAGGAGGTGGGATCATGGCTCCGGCCGGAGGTGGTGCCGAGAACGGCGTCGGTGGGATTTTCCCTTGCTGGAATGCAGCCGCTACATTGGGGGGGAAAAGAAAAAAAAAAAAAAGGAAAGAAAGAATCCCAGGGAAAAAAAAACCAGTTACTAGGCCGAGGAAGCGCCGGGGGACTCGTCCGTTCATGCCCCGCGGAGAGAACATCGCGTCATGCAGCCGACTCCGGACACGTCCCTGCGGGCGGGAGCACCTGGCACTCCTGGAGACAATCACTGTTACACGGGACCAGGGGCTGTGTCACACCCCCACGGCACCCAGGCGGGGACAGGAACACCACACACACGGCGGGATCCGCAGCGCTCCACCGGGACATGCTGTGCTGGAATGGCAACGGGGCAAGGGCTGGGAGGGACAGGGAGCAGGGAACGGGGGGAAGGCAAGGGCACAAATTCAAAAGGCTGGAGTCGAGTAGGAGGAAGGCGAAAGATGGGAAGGTTGGAAGCATCACAAGGGAAATGGGCAAAAGGAAACGGAATGAGGGTGCGTCGGGGGAAGCCCAGATGGGAGGTTTTAGGAATAGGCTCTTCCACCAGAGGGTGGTGGGACATGGGAACACTCCCCTGGGAAGTGGGCACAGCTCTGGGCCTGCCAGAGCTCAAGAAGCATCTGGGTGATGCTCTGGGTCACAGGGCTTAGTCTTAGGCAGTCCTGCACAGACCTAGGAGTGGGGGCAGTGACCCAAAGGGTCCTTTCCAACTGAAGATATCCTGTGATCCAAGGAGAGCTGCCACAAAGTCTGGTGTTTGTATTGCTTTCTCAGAGAGAAGAACCATTCCTCAGAAGAAAGCAAGGGGAAAAGGGCCCCAGGAACTGACACAGAACACACTTACACGCTTCAGTCAAGGCTTTAAGAGCAAGGGAAAAATATCCCTTGGGAACTGAGGGTGAGCAATCACAGTGTGTGAAAAACACAACAACGCAGACGTTTTAACATCTGCTTTCCTATCTTTTGGAATTCCTGTTCGTGCTCTTCACACAAACGTGTCACTACCAGGGAGCACAAGTGGTTGTGTGACCCTGTGGGACACCACCAGACACAGAGACACTGCCCCCAGCCTGGGCAGGGAACCTCAGCTGCTGGGGGGTGGGCAGAGCCCTCAGGCTCCCTGGGGCAGCCCACTCTCTGAAGAGCTCAAGATCAAAACTCTAAGTGAAGTTTTCACTCCTGACTTCCCCAGGGCAGTGAGAACGAGTTGAGGTGGGAGCAGGGAAGAGCAGTCAGAGGAGAGGCAGGGGAGGGCAGGGGTGTCACGGAAGGATTGGCCTTACTTGTTTTGTCAATCAGGCTCTGGGCCTGCTCCTCCATCCATTTCTGGTAATAGTCCTTCACGTTCTCCTTGTGCTTCCGGCCACTGCAGTGGGTTTTCCTCACGGAGGGCTGGGAAACATCAGAGAAACCTAGAGATTACTGAGGACTCGGTCTGATTTTAAACACAGGCAATTCAGCAGCACAAAGCAGCTTGGTTTGTGCCCAGTCAGAGGACGGGAGATGCGCAAAACCTTTGTGTGATAAGTGTTGACCCCCCAGTTTAAGCAGAAGGTGCCCCAAGGGCCCCCCAGCTGCCTTCCCCGGACCCCCGCGGGCATTGGAGCATCACTGCCCCGCCGGGAGGGCCGGGAACACGGCACGGCCTCTTCTGGCTGGAACCAGGAGACAATAAGTGACATCACTTATGTCATGAGCCGTGGTCTTAGCCCGAATAAGTTTATTTTGATGTTCTTGGTACTCACCGAGTCATGGGTGAGGTACGTGTCGCAGTAATCGCAGTAAAACCTGAATAGGGAAAAGCGGGTTACTGAGAGCCCTCCCTTGCGCTGTGAGCCCCGGATCGGCCCCG